GGTCTGTTTTTCATATTTTCCCTCTGATATCCCCAAGAATCACTGGTTAGTAAGGACTGTGAGGATCAGGAAAAGGAATTTAGGTGTTGCTGGAATATTGAGAAACACTGGAACAATGCAAATATGGCTACCTCCAATAAAAGAACAGAGAAAAACAACACGTATGGCTGGCTGCCCAGCCCCAGTGACCTTCCTGATAATGTCCAGCACCTTCCCCCATTCCCCCTTTGTAGTCATTTTTTTCTAATGCCCATCCCCTCCAACCTCCCTTCTCCCACTACAGGATGCTTTAAAACACAGCTTGTAAGAGAGGCTGCCCTGCCCCTCTCAGAGTGTTATTCTGATGGCCAAGGGTCCCTCTCAGGTCTCCTCTCCCTAATAAAGACCTACCTGCTGATTGTAGAGGTCGCAGATTCTTTTTCGGTCTCTCTCTCTCTCTCTCTCTCTCTCTCGCTCTCTCTTGCTTCTTCGTTTTCCTTTCAGGTGTTACCTGGCCATTAACAAACAACAAACTAATGGAGATTCTTGAGCAAGGAATGACAAGGGTGGATCTATATTTTAGGGAGGGTTATTTACAGGCTGAGGATGAATGAATGAATTGGAGAAAATCTGAAGGCAAAAAGACCAGTTAGAAAATTGTGGCAGTTCATGAACAATTTACAATTGAGGTAAAATTGACTAACTTCCTTCCCCCCCAAAAAAAGTATTCCCTGAGAGTTGGAGATGGCATGAGAAGACACCTTGTGTTCTATTAACAATGTTTCAAATGTCAAAGAAAAAGAGACTTCTTTCTGAAGGAAGGCAGGAATTGTAAAACACCACAGTTTGCTAGTAACCCATGCTTATACCTTTCACTCTGCAATTAGGAATAAGAAACCAGAAGTTTGTTCTGGGTTTGGTGGGGTTTTTTCCTAGAAAAGATTTAATTGCATTCAAACTACAGCACTGACTAAGGTTTTTTCCCCTAACATCAAATCTTAACAGCCTCCTAAGAATAAAGGCATAATGCCAGAACTGGGAATCTGAGGAGGGGGTATAATTTGTTTGGCTTTACAGTAGGAGACTCTGGCTTGGCAGAAGAGAAGCTAGTGGGGTTGTGGGTGGAGAAAGGAAACTGAAGTAGGTTTTTCTTTTCTGGATGCAAGTTGAAGAGCTGCCAGCATAAACAAGGTGTGGCCATCTTCTCTCACAAATCCTTGAAAGAAGCTACAGTGTCCTGTGGGTTTACACAATGCCCTCTCACTTCATTCCTTGCACGTCTCTCCTCACACAAATACAAGTCCAATCTTTTCAAGTTGGATATTTGATAACTCAAAAGCCAAACACGTACATAAGGGAAATCTGGACCTAGTCAAACAACAAAAGTTTATTTTTCTTTTAAACTCCCTGCACTCAGATCTTTTCAAAGATGAGGACCACCGAGTTTTTTTTTCCATTGCCATCCTTTTATGTCTTTTTTTTAACCAGCATATATTATTTGTGCAAAGGAGATTCATTGTGATCTTCCACACATGTAAATAATGCACCTTGATCAAATGCATTTTACATGCCTTTATGTGGGCAGTGGAGTACAGAGGTCTAAGCATGAGTTTTCAATATTAAAAGAACTTAATTCAAACGCCAGCTTGCCACAAGACTTCCATGTGACTTTTGGTAAGCTACTTCTCCAAAATTCCATTTTCTCATTTGAAAATACATTTAAGAATGCTTTCCTTTGGGGGCTGCTTTGAGAACATTATGAAATTGAGCGTGTAATGGGGTCCAATCCACATAATCAAAAATGTTAATACCTAGGCACGTGCTGTGACACACACTTGTCATTCTAGCTACTTGGGAGGTCGAGTCTGGGAAAACGCTGATTCCAGGCCAGGTGGGCAAAAATGTTTGTAAGACCCAATCTTAACTGAATAAAGCTGGATGTGGTGGCATGTGTCTGATATCTCAGCTATGGCACAAAGCCTAAAATAGGAGAATCATGGTCCATGTCAGCCCAGGAACAGTAAGACTCTATCTAAAAAATAACCAGAGACAAAAGGGCTGGTAACATGGCTCAAGTTGTAGAGCACCTGCCTAGCAAGTATGGAGTTCAAACACAGTACTGTCAAAAAAAAAAAAAGTAGTGCCTCACTCTTTCTCTTTATTTTGCAGAATTAAAATCTCAGGTTTTCAAGGAGCCCATAAGAGCAACTAGCTGTTATTCTCTTTTAAATTTGAAACCACTTATCAGTCAAGTGTACCGTCTCTTCTTAAACACATCTAGTGATACAGAATTTATCCTTTTCTGGAATATTCATTCTGTAAAATCTCTCTCTCTCTTCCTCTCTCTCTCTCTCTCTCTCTCTCTCTCTCTCTCTCTCTCTCTCTCTCTCTCCTAATTTAGTCCTAGTTCCAACACTTCAGATTGGGGTCACTCAAAGAGGTTCTGTAAAATATTGCTTTACAAAGGTAACTACTATATCTGAAATTGTCACCTGTTTTAAAGCCAAAAACTACTCTTGGGTTTCACTGACTCCAGGAATATCTTATTGGAACCAGATCAGGGACCAGGAATATAATGGAAGCAGGGCCAATGGATATCAACTTTACCTAAACAAACCTGGCATCCTCTTTATTCCTGAGCCCAGGCAGCCAGCCAAACTGCCCACTGGTGCTCTCTGGGACATATCATACCCCACAACATAGCAAGACCCAATGGTGCCTGGGAGAGAGCCAACTTTTCTTTAAAGTCCCCAACAAACCCTTCCCTTTGTGGTGAATTTAACATAGTCACATCCAGACCTTATTTATATATTTGATCACTACCTGTGCTCTGGATGCCATAAGAAGTGGGCTTTGTTCTAGCTCCAATCATCTAATCTTGGCCATTTAACTGAAACACGGAGTTTAAGGTAGTATAGGTAAGTCTCCCCTTTTACCTTCCTTGGACTGGTTACTGGTGAATCCTAGAATTCCTGACAGGAAAGTAAGGAAACTCTTGAAAGTGGAGCAGACAAAATGCTGAGACCTTTTGTCTCACCATTCTGACCTTAATGAGAAAAGCTGGACTTCACTTATTCTAAAAGTGTATTCTAAAATTCAGACAAGATTTTGTTTCTTTAAACGGTTTCTACTATTTATAAGTAGAAATAGGAAGAAACAAAAGTAAACTAGAAAACGCTAATCTAAGCCAGTCAGTTTATTGCATATGAAGAAGACTGATTGAGAGAAGCAAATAATTTTTCCAAAGATCATATGGTTAAAAAAGTAGGAGAAGGGCTGGTGGAGTGACTCAGGTGGTAAGACCACCTGCCTAGAGACCCTGAGTTCAAACCCCAATACTCGCGAAAAATGTAGGAGAAATAGGACTTAAATCAACATTTTAAACTGCTATCGTGGACTCATGAGTGTGTATAATCATAGTGTATCTGAAATTAATATTTTTGGGTCCTCTTTATTTAGCTAAGGGACTCCAGGCTTTAAAATAAGGTAGAGTAGAAAGATATACTCCTCAAAAAGAAGATACAGATTCTATTTCTCACCTTTGGTACCAACCAACTGTATAGACATTTACACTATCTCTTTTGGCTTTAGTTTTATTATCTACAAGGAGGAAAGTCTAAGCTAGCTATTTTCTAGCTCTGATTATATATATATATATATATATATATATATATATATATATACACATATATATAATACCAAATTTTCATCCTGGTTATCCTTTACTCATCTGTGCAATCCTTCTGAAACAAATCTTTCTGAAAATGCTATCTGCTATGTCTAGGCTCCAAGGAAGTATATAACTGCTCTTACTTATCATGCTATGCTAATATTTACCTGATTCGTGTCTTCCCCATCACTACATTGGTTATTATAAGCTTAATCATGGGGTTTTATTAATTTCTACATCCCAAACACATGGTGTAAGAGATTCAAATAGTTGACAATATTTGTGTGGGAAGCAATTTGAACTTCATACTATTGAACTCTTTTTTCACCCCTTTTAAAATATTTAATGAGAATTCAAGTTTCTTCCAACTTTATGTGTTTTACTCCACTACTACAGAAAAAGAGGGCCAGGGGAAAGAGAGAGAGAGAGAGAGAGAGAGAGAGAGAGAGAGAGAGAGAGAGAAAGAGAGAGAGAAAGACCGTGACCTTATGAAACAAACAATGATGATAAGAAACAAAATTACCTCCCCAAACATTTTGAATTTTGACACATTTCTTTTCTGTAAAAAGAAAAGAAAGGGCCAGGTGAAGTACCTCACAGCTATAATTCCAGCTACTTGGGAGATTGAAATTGGGTAGATCATGGTTTAAGCCAGCCCTGACAAAAATTTAGTTAAATTTCCCCTCGATCAAATAAACCAGACATGGCAGTATATGTTTATAATTCCAGCTAGTTGAGAGGATATAGGTCAGAGGTTATATAGTCTGAGGTTGGCCCTGGGCAAAAACATAAGACCCTACTGGAAAAATAACTAAAGCAAAAAAAGAAAAAAAAAAGGGCTAGAGCCATGGCTTAAGTGGTAGAGTACCTGCCTAGCAAGCACAAGGCCCTGAGTTTAAACCCCAATACTGCCACCCCTACAAAAAAAAAACAAAACAGAAAAGTATATATATAGACTGAATCTGAGTGACTTAATAGCATAGTTGCAGTGTTTGGAGCAATTGAAGGAACAAGTATTTTGTCTAAGTACCATTAATCAATCCTTTCACTCATGTGGTGATATTGATAACGAAGGTGATCATCCAGACAGTGCAAAAATAGCAAAGTGTCTCATTATTTATGCTCTTTTGCATAAGCAAATGCATCAGGTTAGAGTGATAGTGATCTGTGTGAAAGACCCAATACATGCTGTAGAGGGAAATTCTGCACCAGAGATAGGATAATTGTTTAATGGTGGTGTGTCTTCTGATTCCGGGGGTTCTATGATTCCGTGAGAGAGGAAAATGATTCTTCGCCTGGATTTCATCATCCAGGAATCTCTGTCTGGATCTCTGAGAGCAGAGAGTTGAACATGGCTGTGGAAGGATTCAGCAATGATGACCAATTCGTCCTTTTGGGATTCTCAGAGTATCCACAACTGCAGATTGTCCTTTTTGTGTTGTTTCTGGGAATCTACCTTATGACTCTGGCAGGAAACTTGTCTCATTGTCCTGATCAGGATGGACTCACACCTCCACTCCCCCATGTATTTCTTCCTTGGTAACTTATCGTTAGAGTGATAGTGATCTGTGTGAAAGACCCAATACATGCTGTAGAGGGAAATTCTGCACCAGAGATAGGATAATTGTTTAATGGTGGTGTGTCTTCTGATTCCGGGGGTTCTATGATTCTGTGAGAGAGGAAAATGATTTCTTCGCCTGGATTTTCATCACTCCAGGAATCTCTGTCTGGATCTCTGAAGATGGCAGAGAGTTGACACATGGCTGTGGGAAGGAACTTCAGCATGATGACCAATTTCGTCCTTTTGGGATTCTCAGAGTATCCACAACTGCAGATTGTCCTTTTTGTGTTGTTTCTGGGAATCTACCTTATGACTCTGGCAGGAAACTTGTCTCATTGTCCTGATCAGGATCCTCCATAGCCCCTAAGATGCTCTATGACTTCTTCCAAGAGCAGAAGGCCATCTCCTTTGTAGGCTGTGCTGCTCAGTTTTTCTTCTTCATGGGGATGGGTGGCACTGAGTGCTGTCTCCTGGCAGCCATGGCATGTGACCGGTATGCTGCTGTTTCCAACCCATTGCTCTATCCTGCCCTCATGTCACCCACCATCTGTGTGGGGATGGCCACAACAGCATATGCAGGAGGATTCCTTATTGGCCTGGTCCAAACCATCTCCATATTCCACCTCCATTTCTGTGGACCACGAGTCATTAACCACTTTTTCTGTGACTTGCCATCCCTAGTGGACCTGTCTTGCTCCAGTACCTTCTTCAGCCAGGTAGTGAACTTTCTCATCGTATGTGCAGTTGGAGGGACATCAGCTTTTGTTGTCTTGGTTTCCTATGGCTACATCATTGCTGCTGTCATGAAGATCCATTCAACCCATGGACGGATAAAGGCTTTCAACACCTGTGCCTCTCATCTGAGCACAGTGGTTCTCTTCTATTGCTCTGGTCTCTTCTCATACCTCCATTCAAGTGCTGACTACTCTTGGGACAAAGATAAGGTGGTGTCCATGGCCTATGGAGCTGTGATCCCTATGCTGAATCCCATTATCTACAGTCTGCGAAACAAGGACATCAAAGATGCATTGAAAAAGCTCAAGGAGAAGAAATAGATGTCCTCTCTGTGTTTTATAATCCCTTAAATTAAAAAAATCTAGTTTTATTGAATGTAAATAAGTGGTTTAGAAAATTTAATTGATAAAGAAACTTTCAAATAAGATGACCAAGTATTACTTCTGGACAATTAGGCTCAAGAAAGGTTTGCTTTCTTCACTTTACTTTTCTTGTCATGAACTTATAGGGATTTTTATTTGGTCACTTGCAATAGAAAATAAGCATGATTTTCCATGGTATTCCCTAGCTGAAGGACTTCAGGTGCTGAGTTCAAGATACCATGTCTCAGGTCCAGTTGGGACATGTACCAAGTACCACCACATTCATTGAAGAACTCTCTACAATACAATACAGCTCCTACCAGTTCACTTACAACTTGGAACAAATTTTCAGTTCCCCTTGCCTTGCATTCCTACTATCCGAAAATTGGTATTGACAAGGAATGCTGACTCTGGATTAGGACTGTGAGAATCCCCACTGGGGTGAGTTTAGCAATCATTACTCAGGGCAAGAGAGCAAAAGGATACCTGCAAACTATGTTTGAGAAGAGCCAAGTGTCACATCTGTGGGGTCATTGAGTCTACTGGGGCCACAGATTAGGAGCTAAAATCAGAGTCTCCAAAGAAAGCAAAGAACAGGGATAAAAATAAGAAAACTCTTAAAGGAAAGTAGAATACCATGAGGTTAATTTTCACAACTGAAATCCCCTAGTGACTGGGTGTGACCACCTGGTTTAGGAGCAGTGCCACGGAAGAAAAACTATCTCCTGGAGGTTCTGATTTCATATCTGCTTCCTGGACCAGTTCTCACTCTTGGTCTTTCTTGTATGTCCATTTGTTTCACTTTCTGTCTTTACTATTCTTACTTGACTTTCACTTCATGTAATAGAGTTTGTATCCTATCTACTGACTCCCTGGAATTTATCCTCAGCCTTTCCTATGATTCTGACATCATTGCTTTCATTTCCATATATTCAGAAAGGTCTTCCCTCTATGACATGATCTGAGATAGGACAACCAAGTCAATGAATTTGCAGCAGAATTGAATGTGGAAGTTAAATTATCTTTGACCCATTTTAAAAGATAGTTCTTCCAAAGAACTTGTAAAGAACAAACATTTCTGAAGCCCTGTTTCTTTTGTGTGTGTAAACTATGGTGAATTCTGACATCCAATCCTAAATCATATCTACTTTAGCAATAATTACTATGGCTTAATCTCTTTGCAATTCATGCTGTTCTCATTTGATCTATCCTATGACCACTGGATTAAAGGCACTGATGTAGTGGAAGGACTGTGACTTACTCAGGAGATGCTTTTGTGAAGGCTTCCTTGGTCCTGGAGTCCTCCAGACCAAGTTAAGAGGTTCCTATAGAAACTCTCTTTCATCTACTAGAACTTCTGAGTCTTTTTTTGGTTTTTAAAACATTTTTAAACATTTGTTCTTCATGAGACATTAACATCCTTGTCTAACTTCCCCTTTACTTTTTACCTGAAGCAGAAAACAAGGCTTAGCAAATATCTGTTTAATAAATGAATAAATAAATCCACATTTTCCTGGTAGGTAATTTAAAAAATTTATGCCAAAGGAAGGGAATTAACATTTACTGGATAGTTATTATGTGCCAGGCATTTGGCACATAAAATATAAATATGTATATAAATTACATATAGAAGTTTGAGTGAGACTCAGACTAAACACTATATACAGGAAAAATTGTGTGAATTGTAAAATGAATGAACTCCGTAAAATAAATAAAGTGAACCCTCCTGTGTGTTTTAAATCTCTATATATTAGTAAGTTCTCGTATTCACTTAGAATATAAAGCAATATAATTTTCAAAGGAAACCACAGAACAGCAACATAACCTAATTTGTGGCAACTCATCCATAGCAATGTGTGTGGCCCCTTTGTTATCAAGATAATGACTTTGGTAAATTTGTTTATGATAGTTCTAACAAGAACACAGCTTCACTCCTGTTACAAAAATTGCTAGAACTGCAGAATAAAAGCTAAACTGTTGAAACTTTGAGAATTTATGAAGATAACTCTTAATGGAAGGAAGCAAACTTGTTTTCTAATACCTGCTTTAAAATGCTGAGAATTTGAATCTATCCTTAAATCAAAGCATAAAATCAAATTAAGGGGTAGGGCAAAAGGAAAGGTGATGGAGGGTAAATATGTTCAAAGTATTTTATATGATTTTTTGAAAATAGAATAATAAAACCCATTAAGTTATTTTAAAGGGAGAAGAAAGGATAAGAAAGATTAATGGAGGAGGTGAATATACTTAAAGCACATTATATAAATGTAAGGATATACCACAACAAAACCCCTTTGTATAATTAATATACACTTAAAAATGAGTGTGGAAACAAATAAAAGCAGGATATAATGAAGCAAATGAAGACCCTCTTCCCATTATCTATTATTCAGAGTTTATTGAAGACAATGTGAAAAACACTTTCACAAATACTTTAAAATTTTTTTAATTTTTCAATTATCATACATTAATACCACAAGGGGATTTCATATTTCACTAATACTTTAGTGAAACCAACACATTCTTTTGCCTGTGGAGATGCAGAACAAGGCCATAAGTGCAGTGAAATACAAATACTGCTTTGCTAGTATTATTCAATGGCTGAGGTTTACTTTTTTAATACTTTATTTTATTTTTATTATTGTACTGGGGGTACATTGTGACATTTACAAAATTTCTTCCAATTTATCATAGTTGAAACATCCCTCCATCATGCTCCCTTATTCACCAACCCCCCCCCCATTCCTGGAACAGTTTCAATAGGTATTGTTTTTCCATTTACATACATGTGTACAGAATATTTCCACCATATTGACATTCTGACCCCTTTTCTTTATATCCTCCCCCACACTGTTACCAACCCCCCTGTTTTGCCTTTCTGTTCTCTGTTTTTGTAAAAAAAAAATATGACATTTTTGTTTGTTTAAGATAGCTATATGGGGTGTTTCATTGTGCCATTTCCATGTATATATGTATTATAATGAAAATTGGTTCATTTCCTCTATTTTTATCCTTTCTACCTTAGTCCTCTTCTTATTGTGATTTCTATAGGTTTAACAATTTTATATTCATTCTGGTATAGGAAGTACATCAGCCATATTCACGTTTTTTGGCCATTTGAACTTCTTCCTTTGAAAAAGTTCTATTCAGTTTATTTGAATGGCTGAGTTTTAAACATCACATTGCACTATTGTCTCACTGACAGTTTTCACAGGAAACAATGTACCATAAGGTGGTTATCATTAATAATGAATAATTGTATGCAGTGATCATCAACAGTACAATATAGGCTCAATAAGCAATGTGGAATGAATTAGCAGGTCTTAGAGGATACTTTATTCCCCCTGTCAAATATTATCACTGTATTATGAAGTATTATTTATAAAGAATAACAGAGAATCTTACTATCCACCTTCCTAAAGGCACTATGGGGCACATGAATTTGAGTCTTTGAGCATCATTTATCTGTCATGATTGTAGTAGTCTGAAAAACAGCTCCCAGAGATCTGGGAATGTGTAACCTTATGTGATGCAATGGGGTCAGTAGTGGGAGATGTGGTGACAAGAGCAAAATGCTGGGGTGATATGAAGAAGGCAACAAGCTAGGAGGGCAATTGGCTTCTCAGAGCTGGAAAAGTTAATGGATTAGATGCAGAAGCTTTCGTAAGGAAAGTGGCCTTGATTTTAGACCCCAACCCCCAGCACACCGGGAGAACAGATTTGTGCTGTTTTAAGACAGTAAATTTGTGGTAATTTGTGCTGTGGTAAAAGAAATCAAATACACCGACCTACAAAATGACCCCACTTCATTCCCGAGGAGTATCATGAAGAAATCTTTTTAAAAGAAAATGGTATATTTTATTCGTCTGAATAAAGTGCTTGTCCTCAGGATGAAGTCTTCAGCCCTTTGCCATTGGTTATATACAATGTGCAATAAAACCCATACCTCTGTGTCTAATTTCTTTTCAGACCACGTAATTTATAAGTCATCCTAGACATCTCCACCAACCTCTCCATTCTCTACTGGCTTTTGTAGCTCTATTTCTGTTGCTGTAACTGTCTGCTCTTCCGTTTGTCTCTCTGATGCTGCTTCTCTGGCCACTTCTCTATCTTTCTGTCCCCATCTTTGTTTCTCTTTTTATCTCTGTTACCCTTTGTCTCTCATCTCTCTGTGTCTCTATGTCTTCCACGGTCTCAGTCTCTTTCTGCCTATGTCTCTGGGTCCATCTAGGTTTTTCCTTCTGTCTCTCAATCTCTTTTTGTACCCTTTTCTGTCTCTGTCTCTATCTCTTTATTTCTATTTCTGGCTCTCTGTTTCTTTTTCTGTGTCTCTCTCTGTCCATCTCTATCATTATCTGTTTCTGTCCCTGTCTTTCTCTGTCTGTGCTTGTCTTAGAGGAGCACCCTAACCCCTGGGCTAAGTTGAGTTCCCCTCTGTGTTCCCTTAGAACCGTGAATGTCCTGATGGCATAATGTATCTTGTTGAATGTCTGTCTTTCCATTCGACAAAGCCAGTGGTCTGACACATAGTATTTGCTCACTAAACTTTGAGGACAGTAAACTATTAATTTGAATACATCTCATAACATTTTTAGAGCTACAACCAACCTCCTGGTGACAAGTCCATTCACTCTTTTGCTTACAAATAAAGAGTTAAAGATCCAAAATAGTAAGACCATTTGCTAATATCTCACAACTGGTTAGGGAAAGAACTCCTTTCCAGCCTAGCAGTCTTCCCATTTTCCACACCACAGTTGTCTGTGGTTTGTTGACAGCTCATTTGAAAGGAGGTGAAAGGCTGGAGCAGGAAGAGTGCATATGATTTGAAAACCCTTGCTTCACAGCTTGGCAGCTTTAACTTCCTGTTTTCAGGGAAATCTTTTTTTTCTTTAACTCTGTCACTGAATTTTAAGCTAATTATAATGTTTTAATTGAAAAGAACAAAGATAATATGTGAA